AGCACAATGACGACGATCTCGGACCTGTCGTTGCATATACCAGAGAACTTGACATCGAGAGCAAAGACCTGGTTCGCGGGGCGCGGTGGTCGGTCTGTCCAGACGAGGTCGATGAGGTTCTCAGGAAGCGAAAAGAGCTCCGAGTTGCGATCTTTGAGCTGTTTTGAGACAACATCTGCGTCGGCTAGTAGAGCAGCACCCCTCAGAAATGGGCAAATGATACGAGGGGGGAAGCCGAACCTGCGGTGATGAGCGTGGGGTCAATCCCAATGCGAGAGTGACTATCTAGGTTCTGCAGAATGATCGAAAATGGTAAAGATGGAGCATCTGTAAGGCCACGTACCTTGTAGAGGAACTCCTGCCAGGTCGGGACATCTCGGACGAGTCAGACGCGTTGCGCATTTGATCGGTTTCTAAGACAAGGCTCACCTGGTAAGCCCTGCTTCATCAACTTCCAATTCCTGTGTCATTTTTGGAGGTCAGAAGAGCGATTCGGAAGATGGTAAGTACAGACGCACTGGTCGAGCTGCTTCTCCGCTTGCAGGAAATACCGGCCGTCGGTGAACAGAAAGGCATCCTTGTCCGTCACGATCGCGCATCCTATAGGGTAAGAATGAAACGACAGCAAGTTTAGGTTCAGGGGTTCCTTCGGGGGCAGGAAGCGTGTGGATACCTGCTGATCCCGTGAAACCTGAGATGAAGGCGCGACGCTCGTCGCACGGCGCGATGTACTCGCTGTTGTCTGCAGATCGCCAGAGCCGGAGCCGCGGACTTCAGACTTCATCTCTCCCAAGCGCATATAATGACGACTTGCGTTGATCCTCGCTGGTCACCACCACCGCGTTCACGTTGTACTCCGGTTTCGCCATGAGCCTCCGCAGCGCCTCGAGCCGCTGGGTGGTGTTCACCGTTTGTGTTGCGGGTGCACCCATTGTTGTCAGGAACACTCTTCCGATGATCCTAGCCCCAGAATTGATAGGATGGAAACGAGAGCAAGAGCGCAGGCTGCGATAGCCCGCGAAGAGCATTCACGGGGAACGGAGGACGCGTGCACGCGCGCCGCGGACCGCGAATATGTCTGGCACCGAGACCCCTGTCACTCCGTATACACACAACCTCAGATCGTTCTCACAAGTTCTGTTTGAGTACTGTATATACGCGCAAGTTGTAATGACGGTAAGGCACGACGCATAGAAAAGGAATGCCAACAAGCCAAAGGAATGAGGTTGGTTAGTGGGGAACACGGCTGTTCCTAAGCAGCGGGCGACTCGAGTGAGTCGGTCGCATGCACACGACTGCCTAGAAATTCGGAGACGTTCACGACTAGCCATACCTCAGGCTGCCTTGAGCAGTCCCTCTCCAACATCCACACACCGACATCTTCTGCCCCGCGTTTTGTGCGGGATTCGATATTGCGGCCCGTCCTTGGTAGGAATGACGTCGACTTTCTGCTCCTGCTCTGGTGAGTACTCAGCCGCAAGCTTCTCCACCTCGGCCACAGACAGCGGCCCCACATTGAGTTCCCTCCTCAGCGCGCTTTCCTTCTTCTGCGCTGCAGGAGGGACCGGCTGAATGTTGATCACCACGACCTGCTTGCCGCCCACCGTCGCTTGGTCGACCGACTGGACGAGGAACTCCGTCCCGGGCGCGAACGTATACTCCGTCTTGGCCGGGTCGTCCGACAGGGGCGTGATGTGCGCCGCAGCCTCCCACACCCACGCGTCGTCGGCGGGCGGGTTCGCGACGAGGAGGATCCCGTTCTCGTAGTGCATCGCGTCCGCACACGAGTCCGTGAAGCTCCACACCATCTTCGTCGTGACGACGTGCCCGGGGGCGACGTACGCCTCGAGCGCGCTCGCGAACGCCATGACGAGCGCCGCGCCGACGGGGCCCGCGTTGAGCGGGCACTGCAGGAACTCGACGCCGAAGCGGTCGAGCCCGAGCTGGTACACGTCGACCTGCCCGCTGAACAGGCGCGGCGTCGCGACGAGCGGCGTGCGCGGCAGCGCCTGCCACGCCGCGGCGAGCAGCCGGTTCTCCACCGCGCTGAGCTCGTGCAGGTGCGTGCCGACTGCGGCGAGCTGTGTCTGCACGTCCGCGGCCGTCGCTGCGGGCGTCATCATGAAGCTGTGCATGTAGTCCGGGTCGCTCGGCTTGTACGAGCCCCAGTCCGACTCCCAGATCATCTGCGCGATGCTCGCCTGGTCGAGCGGGAACGGCGTCTGCGGGATGCTGGTGTACTCGAAGATCTTCATGAACACCAGCCGCGTGAACGAGGCGGTGGTCCAGTCGTAGACCGCCATGGCGAGCTGGAAGCTGTGCGGGGAGAAGGGGAAGAGCTGCTTCCCGAGCGCCTTGAGTTCTTCCACCGTCTTTCCGGGCGCGTCGGGGATGTTCTGGTAGGGGATGTACTTCTGCACCATCATCTGGTCGAAGAATTCGACGTCGCTAGCGGAAACGGTGGGCAGAGGTTTCAGCTCCCCGGATACGCTTCCTGACGAAACGTCCCGCGGCAACATAGTCGTCACGAAGGCCGCGAGGAAGGACCCGTCACCAGGCAAAGTCAAGCAGATGTTTACGGTGGAGCCTGTTCCATGGGGCAAGGTGACGGGGATGGGAACACCGTTGAAGTCGAGCACCACTTGGTCATCGGTATCAATTTCAGTGATATCGAGGAACCCCTGGTTGTCCACTATCAAACGACAAGAAGTGTCGCTACCGCCGCGGGACTGCTCCATGGGGAGACCATCGCTGAACCAGAGTCGCGAGGCGGCAACATTTGTGACGGCGGTGATCTGCCACATATTGATGGATAGAACGTCAAGATCTGGCGAGACTTATAATTAGCGTCGTAGTACACAGCATACTTGTCGATGAATCAATTATACCTGGAGGCAGAGGAATCGATGGTATGCTTGCAGTGGTCAGACAAGAGGACCATAGAGTTCCTCACAATTATACCTCTCGCAGCGGCACCACGCCGCATCGGAAATGAGCGCAGGACATCACCGACCGGCCAAGTGATCATATTGGACGTAATCGAGGCCACTGCAATACGGATTCTTCATAGCAAAGCGAGTCAGCTTCCATGCACGTTTATTCGCTTCAATCATGACTGAATATTAATGTCCGGGGAAATCAGCATCGTCTGACCACCTCTCACTGCCCATCCATTCGAAGCGCGTCTATCGACGTAAACCATGTTAGCAGAACATATACCGTTTGAGACCACAAGAACCAGGAGACAATCGTCCCGCGGGATCAAAGCGACTTGCTGCCACTTTTCGAGCCGTGTAAAAATGCAGAACGCATGTCCGACGTGTTGCACAGGTAGTCGTCCAAGCAGTATTTTTTCTTCCGGAAGATGAGAACGAGTTCGAATAAAGCATCTCGGTAACTCAAGCTAGGATGGATTGCCATCGAGAACCCGCACAAGCAAGAAAGAGCCAACATCCAGCGTACATCCGCGCCACTATGGGGTCCTGCCCGACACCGCGACCCTGGTCACTCTCTCGCACGCGTTCTACTTCGCCCTATTTTGATGAACCCCTCGTCCCTCGAGAAGCATGCCCCATTCATAGACAACCTCTCATTCGGTGTGCAAAGTTCAGGTATAAATTCACCGAAACCCTGCGGTCCCGAAAGTCGCCAACAGCCCCCACGCCCATGAGCGCGCCGGCCATTCTCAGCCACACGCGCGTCATGGGGCTGCGGGGTAGCTCGCCGCGTCCGCTGTCTTCCCGTTACCCCCACCTTCCATTGGCCTCTGATTCCTTCCTCCTCCTTCTCCTCCGACCCTCCCGCCTCTTTGACAGAGGTCTCTTTCTCTTTCTCTTCTTCTCCCCCTCCGAGACCTCTTGGAATCCATCAAAAGCACTGCGAGGCGCCCTGTGAGACCCGCAGCGCGCACCGGCACCGCACCGCACACGCCACTAGTCCTATCGCCGCGCCCCGCCTAGCCCTCAGCGGCCTGCTTATGTCAAGACGCCCTCTGCGAGCCTCGTGTATTGACGCTTGACTTTGCCTTATATCGTGCTGGTAATCGGCTCAGATACCTCGGTCTGTTGCGAGATATCACACCGGTCGTCGACCAGGATACCAAGCTGTGCTGTGAGTGCCCAGCTCGGATGTCAAATCGGTATTCTTTCTGACCCATACTGCAGAGTACACCTTAGATCATTGGTCTGTTCCCCGAGCGGTATCCTTCGTAAGCACATTCTGACCTCAGAGCAACAGCCACAATGCGCGCAACCTACCTCCTCAGTCTCTTCACGCTGCTCGTCCTCGGCGCTAGCGCCTCACCGACACCCATCCACCCAGACCTGATCTCTGCGCCCGAGCCAGCACTCGACTCTGCGCCCCAGCTCCAGGTGATCGAGCCCGTCGCTGCCGCGCACCAGCCGCGGACGCACGTCTACACCCGCCGGCCGCGCGCCCACCCGTGAGCCGCACCCGCCTCCACACCACGCTGTCCCGCCCTGGTGCAGGCAGCCTTGGACTCTATCTTGATGCCACTGTAATGGACCCTGGACGTTTCGCAGGTAGACGACTGTTGCATTAGTACACTTCTATTTCTAGACGTTCACCCCGCGCGTGCCCGCGCTGACACATACTATCCCCGCCTCGTAGACTTTGTACTGTACGATGTGACAGCTATGCCTGCAGTATGCTTACGATTACCTCACGCCGTCGATTATCTCGGACATCCTACGTAGCTGACATTCTACCCCGGACTCTATAATTACGGACTTTACGACGTGTCGAGCACCTTGTGTAAATTGATGACGTGGTCCCATCGAACGTCGGCGCTTTGTGAGTCCCTGCCAGACTGGCAGGTCCGCGACTTGTTCCGCCCAACTGCTTCGCCGCCAACTTCTCTTCCGAGCATGCATGCGTACGGGAGTCCAAACGAGGTTTTATTTACGCGACCTTGCGTCTTTACTTTATGCACTCCCCGAGGCAGGCTGGTTATGTACGTTTGGCCGCAAGCTCAGTAATCCGTCCCTGTCGATTAGTGGTCAGATCATTACGTTGTGGCGCTTCTACCTCAAGTGGATATGCAGAACCGTGAAGACGCGGGCTCGACTCCCGCCGGGGACATCTTTTTCGCTTTTTGGCGGACTGTTTTTGGCGCCTGGCCGAGCGCCCTGGGAAGAGGAACACCATGAGGCTACGAGACGCCCGTCAGGCTTGCGTTTCCCTCGCTCGCGGTTTGCTTCTGTTCAGCCATCAGGCCGAAACCGTTTCGGATAGGGGCAGCTTTGCTCCCACTGTGACTCTGGTTTCGTTCTATGACCATCGCCATTGCTGCGGCGACGTGGGGTGAGTCGGGTCCATTCTTGCGCCCTGAAGATGAAATGAAAATGGTTCACATTTCGGCTTCAGATCTGCTCGGACTTGCCCAATTCATTTTGATGTAACCGAGAACGCTCATCATGCTTCTACACTTGACTCTATGTCCTTCACGAACTCGTCTCGTCCTAGGAGTCGCACGCATGCATCTCCTCTCGAGTTCATTCGATGAAATATGGATTACCGAGCTGACTCGGACCCCTCTCCCCTCCGCCTCCCGCCGGTAAAATCTTTTTGGCCTCACGACGGACTGTTTGATGCGTTCCTGAGCGCCCTCGCAAAGACGAACACGAGGCTATGGAATGCTTGGCAGTCCTGTGTCTTCCCGCTCGTGGTTTGCTCCCGTTAGTCACAAGGCTGGAACCGCCTCAGATAGGGGCACATTTGCGTCCGTTCTGACTCTGATCTCACTCTGTGGTCTCCGACACCTCAGCGGGGCCGAGCACCAGTCCGCAGATTCGATCCGAGTCAAGACCGCACGAGCTTCAAGCATATAACGGACGCCCCGCGAGGCTCAGGCTGCAAATTCACGTCGCCAGCTACCGCTCGCACCGGTAACGACGAAAGCTGCAACTCACGAACCGGAGTCTGATTTCCCATCTAACCATCCTCGATCTCACAATGGCCTTCGAGAGCAACAACTACATCCTCGCCGCCACCCTCGAAGCCGCCGCCGACCTCCAGCCCTCCCTCGCGCGCATCCCGCGCCTCCCCCCTCTCCCGCCCGCAACCGGGCCCGCGCTCTCCGTCTCGGAAACCCTCGGCGGGCTGCACGGCGAGCCCGCCTCGCGAGACCCGCGCGCCGGCGTGCTCTCGACCGGCTTCCCCATCTCCGCGCGCCCGCTGCGCACGCCCAACGCGCGCGCCACGTTCTCCTCCGCGGGCACCGCCTCCGCCGTCGACATGCGCTTCGCGCGCCTCGCGGGGCTCCTCCCGCGCGTCGTGCCCCTGCGCCCCGAGGACCGCGTCGTGCTCCGCAGCACGTACGTGGGCGGCCCGCTGGAGGTGTATGGGCGCGTCGAGCTGGTGTTTGACGCGCAGGGGCGTGAGTATAGCGTTGGGTGTTGGGTGGTGGATCTGCAGCTCCCGGTGGATGTTTTGTTGGGGCTCGATTGGGCGCAGAAGTACCAGGTCAAGATCGACTGGAGGGGCAAGGGAGGGGAACGGTATACGTCGGAGATTGCGAAGAAGGTGGGGCTAGTCGAGGATGTATACATCTTCGAGTGAGTACAGCCCTTCATATCCACTGGACGCCATGGCGACTCTTTCTCCTAGCATCTGCCCGGCGAGTTGATGTAACCTGATGTACGAGTTTGAAATACCGTCTGTGATTCCATACCAGGAGCGCAGGAGCGGTTTATCCCCTTAGCCATTTCGCTAAGTTGCACTAGCGTAAACTTGTCTCTTTGTACTAACTTGTGCCCTGGGGTTCCCTTCAACACTGTTGCACAATCATGCCGTCCATCATCAGGGTCTATTGCATAGAGCATGGCGCAAAGCTGCCTTTATCATGACTTGCACTAGGTGTATGTGTTCGAGTGATGACTAGGACACCAGTTTTGAATACGACCGACGGTGAGGATACCCACGAAGATTCCAGTTCCTGGGTTGATCAAGAGAGACTAGGAGTACCGCTACTCCTCGTATGATCAATGGTTTCAAGGCCTTCCGTTCAGTACTTCATCAACCATGATATTATGTGGGCCTTGATCAGTACAGCGCAGGTCCAGTACAGTGCAGATCATACGATCACTTCGATATTGCGCTAACTCGACGCTCGTGTGTGAGACATGAGGTCGGCACTAGTCTTCTGCTTGCGACTCATACTGCCACCACTTCTCAGGCACCTCGCACCCCCTCCTGATCCAATCATCCCTAATTTTATCCAATGCAGCCTTCCCTTGGGCCCGTGCCTCCTCGCCTGAAAGAGGATAACCTTTCCAGCCTTCGGCCAAGTCCACAATTTCCTCCACCGTGATCGGCAGGTCAATGAAGTGGCGATTGACGACGATGAAGGCTACAATAACGTACGATTAGGGCAATGTCGGTATCGCGCAAGAGGCACATACAAGGTAGCCAAACTTCAAAAAAGTCGCATAAGCGGTGAAGTTCCGGACATTTACCCAGATCCTCAATCGGTGGACGTGGTGCATTGTATACTGGTCTATACGTCGCATGGCAATCATGCAGACTAGCGTCATCGAAATCAATGACGGTAATTTTGCCATTATCATCCATCAGACTGTTGTATTCGTGGTAGTTGTTCGTCCAAATACCGGCCCTATGTATCGCCTGATATGCGTCCGCGATGTTCTGACTGTGGGGGAATGCGTAAACAAAACACAACGCTGGGATTACAAGTAAATGAGAGAAAACTCACACAACTTGCGGACTGAGTTCTTCGTTGTACGATGTCACTGGCTCTCCGGAGTAGATCGTAATTAGGCACGCCAGGTCCAGGGTCTCCTGAAAACCGCCCTTGCCTTCGTACAGTCCGAAAAATACCGGAACGTGTTTGCCTTGCAATTCCTTAAGATTACCGAGGTAATGTCCAGCCTCGTTACGCAACGCCGCTAGTTTCTCCGTGCTGTATCCAAATTTGCAAGCAAGATCGAGTGCCGCACCGCCAGTTGAGACGCGAACACGATAGACACGTGTCAACGCTGTCGAGTGTGTAAAGGTGCCGTAGTCGTATATCAGTTCCATATTTTCTGCAGAAAGGACCAAGGTTCGCTCGGTCTCAGAAATCAGGGGATGATCTCCAGTCTTTTTCAAGGTTAGGATATAGTTCGAGGCACTGCCATAACGCTCGTTGCGTGGAAGAATATCTGCTGGGATCGTCAAGCTCATCGTACTTCTGATAGTAGAAGATGCTCTTAGGAATGACACTCTCGGATGTGGACAAGACGGTGAGATGCAGGAACAGAGTAGTGGCCCCTTTTATCAGAAGGCTTGTAGCAAGTGGCAATCGACTTCTCCTTCGGGTCTTTGTTGCCATAGTTACGCGCCAAGCGACGGCGCCACAATCGAACTTTCTATCCAAACAAGAGGTTTGGTACCACAAGACCAATGACTAAACATGTCCAGACACGACGATGGTACGCGCCATAACCGATCACAGAAGCTGCTGCGTAACCAAGATCTAAGCCAATCGTGTGACCGATCATCCTGTCTTTCCGCTGTCACCAGGACACGGACCGCTCAAACACATCGGACAGATCAATATTGTCTCGCCACAATCCGTGGAATGAACACGGCGTCTTCGAGGAGTTTCAGAAGAATCTGCACATTATCCGATTGTTGCAAGCCGATCAGGATACCTACTTTCATGACAAAGCTCTCACTCAGCTGACAGCGGCATAGTGTATCAGAGCTACATGTCCGATCATTCTTGAGGCCATACAGAGTAACGCTAAGCAGTAGAATCCGCATAGTAGCAACGACCGTCCTAGCCATGCCGAAATAAGTGGCGTCGGACGAGAGATAGGGCCTGGTGGCCACTTGAACATATACTTGCCTGGATGGTGCCTCCACTTAAAAGGACGGCAGAGAATGAGTCCTGCTTCCCAACACATTACCGTCTGTGGGCCTGAAGTTCATATCCCCCCTCGAACTTAATACATTGAAACATGCCACCTAAGCCTACCAAGAAACTGAGTGCCACACCATTGAATATCTTGGTGAGAGTTGGCTTCGCTTCCGTCGATGACAGAGTTCCCCTGACAGCTTTCAGGCGGACTTTCCGCCAGCGGGACCTGCTCAGACACCTGTTAGATCAAACAAACTCCATCCCGTGTCATTTCAATATGCGCCGCAAAGACTCCCCCTTGGGTTCGATCCACGGCAGAGCGAAATACCCGAAACACCCATTCGGCAGCGGGAACCTTGGCTGAGAAGTCAGCCTGTCTCCGATCCAGGCGACACTAACAATTTCCCCAAAACACTGGAGGATGTGTTCAATTTATGTGTCCCGAAATTGAACCGTAACAATTTTGCCAAGCTTGGAAGCGATAATATAGCAGCCACAAAGTCCAAAACTGGGAGTACCAAAGCACTCACGGCCGAAGAGATAAAAATCGGTGACAGTAATGAAGGCATGGAGCATATCATCCACGTTCCAGAACTTGTCGACCAGCTATGGGATGCATCCTCCAACTTGTTGAGATCAGTAACATTCGATTGGGATAACCCGAGAGATCATCAGTTTCTGGCCACCATCCATCCATATTATACGGCCAAAGGCACAGCAAATAAGTATGCATCTGAGAAGGATGTTGAGGACTGGTGCTTTGCAACGATCTTCAAACCAGCCCTTCTCGCTGCATGGGAGATCCGAACCCGTAGCCATGAAGAGATGAATTCAGAATACTTCTCGTCGTCTCCGTACGGCAAGGTTCAGCCAGATTCCATGCTCGTGATTGAACCGAAAGATCGAGAAGAGTATCTTTTGAGTATGATGATAGAATACAAGACACCCGCCGCATGGCAGAACAAGTTTACCAATGTCATCCCAGGGGCCACGGGAGGCATGCTTGACGACATATTGCACTTGGACAAGCGGACAGATGTTTCATATGGGCCTACTATCAGGTTTCAGTGGCCGACTGTGCTCGACAGTAGCAAAGCAAGTTCTCAGACGCGGGTTCTCTCTCAGGTAAGACTATTATAGTGATTTCCTATCAACCTGTTTCTGACAACAACACTCTCGAGATGTGGACTCAGCTGGTCTTCATGACATCAAATCACGG